TCGGAACCTAATCGGAACGCCGTTGGTACAACGAAGGAGAAGTGAGTTTGTTCAGCGAAAGAGACGATCTCATCTCATGACACATATGATTCAGGCGGTGACGTCGAAAAGTTTTTCCTCCCCCCATAATTTTAACATTTTCAGGTGTTTCTGATGAGCTTGAACATAAATAGCCAATATCAAGGAAGATTTATTCAGTGATCTCGGGTAATAGATTTCGTAAGAATAAAATCGTATTTTCGCAGCGCTGAAGCCTGTTCAGACAGCCGGAGGTGTTTCAAAGGAGCTATATCTCTGCGAGGAGCCTTGGGGATACCAGGAATGTAAATGCAAGAGGGAAGACATTAGCGGCTATGCTGGTAGGCCGGTCGCCTGACGCAAACTTTTTGTAGCCAACGATAGCAGGGACGCGGGCAGGCTGGTCATTTGACGGATGCCTGTTGTACTCAACGTTAGCAGCTGTGTTGGCAGGGTGGATTTCTGACGGAAAGGGCTTCTTGTACTCTGAGTGTAGATTTCAAAATTCTATTTGAATATTCCTTTCTAAAGACCGAATATTACTCTATATATTTCCGTAGTTTAAATAGTATTCTCTCTTGAAATGAAAGACTTCGACTAAGAGTTGTTATTCAAAAAGTTTAACGAACTGGCATGTCCAAATTACGACATGTTAACAGTGCATCACCTGTTTTATGGTTGTTTGGACGTAGTACTATCCTAGAGTCGAAGCAACCACTGTGATTCTCCCAATCTAGTAAGCTCTACGCATGGTCTTCTTGTCGGAATGCATGGCATCCGGATGTTTTCAAAAACCAAACAGTATGAATTATCAGAAAGGTCGACGGTTAGGGAGGATTAAGGCGACTCCACGGCAAGAAAGGAAAATATTTTCGCGCTTATTGGGCATAAGAGTTAGATCTAGGACTAAAATTTGGGTTTCATTAAGAGTGCTTTATAAATGGGTTCCGTTTTAGGTCTTTCGTTGTGACTAGGGATATGTTTGCTGATAGGATCAATATAAGGATTATTGTTAAGGCAATGACAGGTTTTGGTTTTACGACAGGAAATTGGGCACTACTTCGAAACCTTTTCGAAACGCCGTCGGTACTACGAAGGAGAAGTGGATGTGTTCTGCAAAACCACTCCCAAATGGGCGACCTCTCGCAATCAATTCGCATCAATTCACCAGCGTTGGTTTAATGCGGCAGTTTTGGTGTGATTCATCTTATTGTCGGCCTGCTTATATGCACTGTTACAGTTCCAAAGCCTTGCGCCACGCGCGGGTGCTGTATAATACAGTGCTACCCCTGCCAATTCGTGACATATGTACTATAGGGATCGAAGTCAAACACATTCCACCATAATTTTCACCCCTTTCATGTGTTGCTGATAAAAGTGAACGTAAGTAGCAAAAACCAAGGTAAATTTATTCAACGACTTCAGGTTATAGAGTTCGAGTGAATAAAACCGTATTTCGCAGCGCTAAAGACTGTTCATACAGCCGGACGTGCTTCAGCAAAGCTACATCCCTGCAAACAACCATGCGGACACCAGGAGAATAGGCACAAGCGATAAGGCATAAGCGGCTTTGCTGGTAGTTTGGTCTGTTGACGGTGAGTGATTGTGTCCAGCGTTAGCAGCTGGACTGACAGGCCGCAATACTGACGGAGGCTTCTTCTCGTCAGCGTTCGCATCTGGGTTGGCAGGCTGCGTTACTGACGGAGGCTTTTTGTCGTCAGCGTTGGTGTCTGGGTTGGTAGGCTGCGTTACTGACGGAGGCTTCTTGTTGTGAGCGTTAGCATCTGGGTTGGCAGGCTGTGCTACTGACGGAGACTTCTTGTCGTCAGCGTTGGTATCTGGGTTGGTAGGCTGGGTTACTGACGGAGTCTTCTTGTGGTGAGCGTTAGCATCTGGGTTGGCAGGCTGCGTTACTATCGGAGGCTTCTTGTCGTCAGCGTTAGCATCTGGATTGGTAGGCTGCGTTACTGACGGAGGCTTCTTGTGGTGAGCGTTGGCATCTGGGTTGACAGGCTGCGTTACTGACGGAGGCTTCTTGTCGTCAGCGTTGGTATCAGGGTTGGCAGGCTGCGTTACTAATGGAGGCTTCTTGTCGTCAGCGTTAGCATCTGGATTAGCAGGCTGCGTTACTAATGGAGGCTTCTTGTCATCAGCGTTGGTATCTGGGTTGGCTGGACGGGTTTTGGGCTTGCATTTGGGCTGAGGGTATATTTTTATTGTGTACTTCCCGCCGCTTCCATCCTTGTGTTCCGCAAACTGCAGTATCACAGGTTCATTTCGTAGTATTCCCTTCAGCCGGATGTGTGTTTCCGCTAAATGTGTGATATATATTGTTAAAGATAAATCGAGTATTGAGCTCATATAAGATATAAAATTTTGCGAAAGTTCCCATTGAAAATATCAGAAGATGAACTGGCGAAAATACGTTTGTTTTCGATAATTCCAATCAGGTCTTTACATTTACATGAAAATTTCTTGGACAGCGTCTGCTGGCTACGGCAGAAGCGGCCGCCATCATGTTACCCCGACCGATCCTGCGTGCCCAAAAGAACTTCGTGGCGGCGCCGCAGTTACCATGGTCAATGGCGGCTATTCCAACAGCCAGCAGCTCGGTACCTCAGCCGACTACCAGTTTACCCTAATGCTGATCAGATTTTGACCCCTTTTCCTCCCACCATTTTCCCCTGCTCTGACAACCGTTCTATTTTTTCTACCAACCCGCGTAGTTTATTTACTTAATTACCGTATAATTATAAAGGCCTGATGAAAGTAAAAATTGCAAATCATTTTATATACAATTGTTCAACATTTGACATTATGGCTTTAGAAGATAAATTGGCGAACATACATTAAGTGAACTATCTCATGAAATAAGTTGGAAAACGTAGTGAAAGTCATTTTGCGGGAAGTCAGCAGACGCAGCGTGCCCCCAAACTATTAAACAGTATAGTAAGAACTATAAGTAAAAGCAAGTTAGAGTTTGATTGAGAAATTACTATTTACTAGCATAGAAAAATGTATTTTTCACAAAATCTGCAAACTGAAGAAATTGAAATATGCAAATTTACTGGTCTATTGTGAAATAAAAGTGTGTTTAAGACATGAGAATGGAGAAGGAAGGCAAGGTAATACAGAATAAGTACAAATACAATTTTTTTAAATAAATTTTTTCAATAACATTTAAACTTGCACTAAATGTGTCAGAAATGGATGAAGTCACCCTAAGTACAGTATCTTCCAAATTTAGATACTTCGGACAACTTTTAGTTTTTAATGCACGAAACGATTCTTGCGTGCTTTGTATCAATTTCTATTGACA